TGCTGCAGACCTTTCTTTCGTCGTTGTTGTTGTTTTTGCGCTGCTGGACATGTCCATACAGGCTTCGTATGCAGTCTTAAAACCCACCTTAGCAAGCGTCGAGAACCTAGCAGCAGGAAGTCGTAGTAGCCATGCAGTAAGTTTTAAGCAATGCAAAGCGGAAGGCGAAGCGGCAAACGAGTCCAAAGATCTTCCTCTTGCTGTTTGTTTTCTCCCACTTCCCTCCGGTGCGGATCTCTCTTCTCCTCCTCTTCCCCATCCTCCCCCATGACCATTTCGTCCACCTGCTCCGAGACCGAAGAGAGACCCCGGTCGTATGCTCGTGTATTCGTAAGGTAATCTATTCTCCTCCTCCAGCTCCTCGCCCAGCCTTTTTGGCGGGCTTATTGGTCCTGTTCATCTGTAAATCCTTTTCTCTCTCAATCTTGACTTCTCATCCTTCTTCCATCCTCTCTTGCGTCTATCTGTCTTTCTGTCCGGCCGGCCTTCGGTGACCGACATCTCATCCGTGCCGTCCTTTTTGCGTATTCGCCGCACGACTCGACTCCTAACGTTGGAGACCGCCACAAACAACAAAGCACTGTAGCAGCAGTAATAGCAAGAGCAGCAGCAGCGACAGCAACGGAAATTCGTCTCATAATTGCGCTCGAATCCGCTCAACCGCTCTCTGTCTCTCGCCCCTGCTCCCGTCCTCCCAAAGCTCCATCCCTATCTTCCCGATCTGAGGCACATACATACCAAAAGGCTGGACGAACGAAGACTACCTCACACCCACACACGTGCAAACAACCTCCTGCAGTCTCACACACAGGGAGCAAAGCAGCATTCACAAGCCAGTCGCCCCAAGAAAGTCACAGTTCGCCTCCTCCTGTTCCTCGTCTCGCCCCCGGGCTGCTGCCACAAACCACTCTTCAGGGTCCAGGCATCTTACGGATCTGCACGTCTTTTTACCTCTAGCTGCGCGCTCTCCTGGCCCCCGGACCAATCACTACCGCATTGTTGAGATCCCGCCCGCAAATCTGGCCCCCCTCTTCCCTCAACAGACTAGAAGCATTTTATTTCGTGGAGAAGCCAAGGAAGAAAAGGAAAAAACCGATAGCAGAGCGCCCAAAATCCGCTCTTCCGCCGTGTCCCACTCACACACAAATCCCCCCATTCTCGCTGGGCCCCCCCTCGGACTTTGAGTATAAGCCAATTGATTCCCTCGCCTCCCACCCGTGGCTTCGCAAGTCAACATCGACGGCTCGCCGCAACTGCAACCCACCACAACTGAACAGAACCTCCAGAGCAGAGCCGCCATCGTTTCTGCTGCAATATACCTGGTGCAACCTGTTGCTTGCCAGCCCCAGGACTCCAACACTCCGGTAGCTTTTACTCGTTACAGACCGGCGGAGACTTAATCGGCTGCAGGCGTTTGTCTGTATCCCTTCCTGCCGAGGCCGAACCCCTCGAGCTTGGGAAACGACTTCTGTATCGTTTAAAACACAGCAGAGTAATGGACCCCCTCGTCAACATGACCTCGCTCAAGTCCCCCTGCTCCGGCGCCGCCGTCCACGACGACGAAGACATCGCCGTGGCCACCACCTCCGGAGCTCAGCCCGAAGGCACCGAACTCGCCCGCAGACGGCGACACTCTTTCTTCATCCCCCGACGCAAGTCAATCGTCAGCCACATCATGGACGGAGAGGAGCATCTGCTGTTGAAGGTGAGTTTTGAGGCGGTGGTTGTAGCTGCGGTTGCAAGGGTGTTTTGTTTTGTTTGGTTACACCTCCCCCACCCTACCCGAGCATCGGACCAAGAGAAAAACGACTGACTTGTGCTTCGTTACACCAAAAACAGGTCGACCTCTTCCTCACCGAACTCGAGCGCCGCCTCGAATTCATTGAGGAATACGGCGAGCTCACCTTCGACTCCAGCATATCCCGCGCCTTCTCCACCCTCCAGACCGTCCGCGCACGATGCTCCCACGCCTCGGAGGAAGTCCTCGGCGCAGGCCGCAGGCGCCTGCACATCATGGTCGAGACGTTGGAAGCCCGCTACCAGGACGCCCTTGCCTCCGCCGAGTCCCTGAACGAAAAGGCCCGCGTCGGCATCGAGCTGCTCGACGACATGCTCACCGAGTACGAGAGCCGCGCTTACAAGCTCCGCGAGCAGAGCCTTGCCAGCGCTACGAGCGCCGCCGGAGCCTTCATGTCCGAGGGTCGCAGGGTCGTCGACGGCGGTATCGAGCTCGCCCGCGAGGTCGTGGACGAGAGTATCGGGCGGGCCAAGCGTGCGGCGGAGAGCCTCGAGGAGACGATTGAGCGTGCCATTGAACGCGCGAGGACGACAAAGTTGATCACCTACGACGACCTGCCCATGCCGTGGCGCATCAACCCGCACATCCGCAACGGCTACCGCTTTACCGAGTCCAAGCTGGAGTGCATCTGGTCCGCCTTTGGCGTCTCGAACGAGCTCGTCAACATCTGGTCTCACGCCATCGGCCTGTTCATCGTCCTGGCCGTCGCTCTCTACTTTTACCCCCGCAACGTCAACTTCTCCCTCAGCACCAAGACCGACATCTTCATCGCCGCCGTCTTCTTCTTCACCGCGTGCCTGACGCTGGTCTGCTCGACCATCTGGCACACCATGAACGCCGTCGCCGACGTCGACGCAATCTCCATCTTTGCGTGTGTCGACTACACCGGCATCTCCCTGCTGATCGCCGCATCCATCGTGACCACCGAATACACCGCCTTCTACTGCGACCCCGTCAGCCGCTGGACGTACATGTCGACCACCGCCTTCCTCGGCATCGGCGGCGTCATCCTCCCCTGGCACCCCACCTTCAACGGAGCAGACATGGCGTGGGCCCGCGTCGCCTTCTTCGTCGGCCTGGGCGCCACCGGTTTCCTGCCCATCCTGCAGCTGTACTTCTCCCACGGCCCAGACTTTGTGTGGACCTTTTACACGCCCATCGCAAAGTCCATTTTCGTCTACCTCCTGGGCGCCTTCGTGTACGCCAGCAAGATCCCCGAGAGGTGGTGTCCCGGCATGTTCGATTACATCGGCGGCAGCCACAACTTGTGGCATCTGGCTGTTCTCGGCGGCATCCTGTTCCACTACACGGCCATGCAGTCCTTCTTTGCGGATGCTTTCCGCCGCGCCGAGGCAGAGTGCTCCATCTACTGAGTGAGGCACCTGCGTCTTTGGCAACGCGACGATTTCATGCGGTTGTCGTTGATGGTTCCTGCAGTGGGCTGTCAATGACTCAGGTCGGGCTTCGAGCCAAGGCACTCCACGGCGCGTCAGCACCCCTCCAAGCGAGGGCATACAGTCCCTCAGGGTGCGCCTCGATCACGCCGTGGGGAAAGCCGCCCAAACTTCAAAAGGCTCGGTAAGGTCGAGCCCCTATATTAAACCCCTCCAAGGACACGCTTTATGCCGGTTGACGACCAAATATCCAAATCCAGGGACTATTGAAACTCTGGATGATGACGAGAAAAGGCTTTGACGAGGCATAATGTTCCATCCCAGGCGGCACGCTTCAGGACGCCTGTACTGCTTCGACCTCTTTGCGACTAGCGATTGTAGAAACGGACCTGATAGAGTAGAGTGCGGTCCGTCAGCATAGAGAGGCGTAGGAGCCACGTTACATGTGAATAGTAATATAAATGGATACCCTATGTAATTGATCTGGAGACTAAGTTGTGTTGTATGTGAAATGTAGACGAGGTCGCGGTAGATACATTCGCAAGTCGGTAATCGATATGTCCATGTGCTCTGCCCGTCTCCGAATGTCTGCCATCCTCTTCGGGGACCAGGAAGACGGACAGATCGAGCCATCCTTCCGAGCCGTCGGCATATCTGATCTGAAGGGTGTACACAGGCAGCCAGTCAATAGTCCGCAAGCAGTATCCTCTTGTAAGTTAAGGCAGGGCGTAGATTATACTTTGAACATACCATCGTCCCCAGTATCTGCTACGCTGCCGCATTTGCAAAGAGAGTGGCATGTTCAATAGTTTCTATGGGCACAATATTCTCTGTAAAGTACGTGGCAGGCGAAGTGTGTATTGCAGAGGTAAGACCACGATCCCGTAGTCGCAGGACATTGGGCTGTGCTTGTTCCCTGACGATGTCCTACAGACGCTGATGTCGTCGTACATGCTTCCATATTGTTTGATCAAGGCAAAGTTGATCTCAGAACGAGGTCGTCGACTGCCCGGTTTCCCAAGATCATGCTGGTGAAGGTTGAGAGGCGTTGGAGAAAGCCTGGGCCCCTGGGATAGAAGCTTTGGGCTTGACGGGATGAGCGTGTAAGTCAGCACTTGGGACATGTTGAGCAGCAACGCCACATTGAAAGTGAACACCAAATCGACCATTTTAACGTGACGCTGCTGGTCTTTCACAAAGGGGCTAAACTCTGCATGTTGAAGATCGTCCAACTTGATGAACCAGATGTAGAACACGAATTGATTCAAGAGAGTTTGGTATCTATTCAGATGGTGGTGAGTAGAAATACTATCTGCATACACAACGTGGTTCACAAAACCTTTTCTCAACAACCACCCTTTGGACCACCCCTTCGACCAACCTTTCTGGAATCTCAACCTTGCTCCTGCCTTCATTTCCCGATGAATACTCGTCTTTCCCAACAAAACATGACGGCGCGATAGCTCAGAGGCAGAGCGTGGTTCCATTAAAGCCAAGGCCCCTGGATCGAAACCGGGTCGCGCGAAACTAATTCCTTTTTTGCACACCTCTTTTGCCCCTCTCCCGTGATACCCTCACTTGATGAAAGCTTCAGATAACAGCACAGGGCAAACCCTCGCTCTTCGATGTGATCAAATTCAAGAGGAAGCTGAAAAGTAGTCTCGCTATGTCATGTCAACGCCCTTGCAATCTAGCCAATATTGTAGCTGACAATCACCCGCACCCCTATAATCATGTAAACATATGGCTCATCTCTCGTTTCGTAACATGCACTCCGTCTCCCACTTGACCCATGTCGTGTTCGTCAATCACCTCGGGGGGTCCGGCACTGGCGGCGGCGGATACCTGGCCAGCGTCTGCGCATTCGACTCGTCCGAGTCCGTGTCCTCCTCAAAATACGGTTCTCGGTACCCGTTAGGATATAATCTTCTAGGCCCAACTTGATCAGCTGGTATTCTTCGGACAACGGCGGTGGATGCGCCCACATCTTGGTACGTCGGACCCCGTCCCCCGCTCATCTGTATTTCCGGCCTGGACCGCGGCTTGTCTCTGTGCGAGGCGGACCGCCCCGGCGCGCCGCTCCGCTGGACGGTGATGTTCATCCCTTCAGTTCTCCGCCGCGGACGCGGGCGGCCGACCCATTCCGCTTCCGTCTGCGGGTTGTCCGCCGCGTGCCGGTCAAAGGCTCTGCGCTGTTCGACGGGCGACGGGGGCGCAAAGGGGCTGCTCCGCGGCTCCATCGTCTCGGCTCTGTACATTCCGTTAGGCCAAATCTGCTGCGGATGCCGTCGAGCGGTCGGGCTCGTTCCGTAGACAGTCGAGGCAGGCCGTTGCGAGAGAGGGCTGGGCGCGCCGTAGCTGTTGTCCAGCTCGCTCAGGGCAACCTCCACGCCGGCCTGGATGGCTCTCTGCATCTGCTCCGGGTCGAGCCGGGAGCTGAACGAGGACCGTCTGTCGAACTCCAGCCTGGGATCTTGCCGGCCTTGGATCCGGTTCGCGTACTGAGGATCGAGCTGTCTCCTGCCCTCCCACAGCTGGTCCATCTCTTGCTGGTTGAGATCGGGCGGCGGCGCACCGGGCCTGCCGGCCCAGTACGTCCGGTCGTCGGCAGACCGCGCGGGTGTCGAGTACATCCGCATCGCATACTCTGACCGCGGCGGCCCTGGTTCAGAATTCAAGTCGTTCTGGAACAGCTCGTTTCGGATCTCCCCGAACCCGAGCTTCATCTTCCTGTCCATCTCCCTGCTGAGGACGGCAATGTCCCTCTCACGCTGCGCAGCTTCCATAGCCTGCCTCTCTCGGGCCTTCTCGCGCTCGAGGAGACTGCTCATGGTCCGCTGGACGTGCCCCAGGTCGACTGACTGCGGCTGGATCGGGCGCGGTTTTGGCCGAGACGGGGTTCTGCCCTCGTAGCGAGGTATCGGCTGAGGTTGCGACGGCACCGGGATTCCATAGTATGGACTTTCACGGTCTGTGTACGACCTGGGCGAAGGGTCGAACGGGTTAGACCGGTGATGGCTGGACGACGAGGGCCTCGGGGGTGCGCTGTTCGGGTACTGGCCTGGGGGGTAGTTGTACCCGGCCGCTGATGGGTATGAATAATACGGCGGCGATGGGTCGACGGGATTCGGGCTGAAGGGGTTCCCGCCCATGCTTCTGGAGAACTGAGGTAGATTCTGGGTCTGGACATGCGGCGGCATCGGGCGTGCGCGAGATCCTGGGACCGGGAACGGTGCGGATGCGGGAGCGAAAGGGTTCGGGGGGCGCTCGGTGCTCCTGTGCCGGTGATGGGACCGGCTGCTCGGACGCCTCCGGGGGATCCCTTCGGGGAATTGCGACGGCGACGACGATAAGTCGAATTGCACACTCTTCGGCCCGTGATGCGTGCGCGTCGCCACTCCCGGCTCCGAGTCGCTGTCGTACAAATCAGACTCGTCGGAGGTCATCTTATCGGCTGTGTTGTAGCGGCGGTGTTGCGTTGGGTATCAAGGGTACCGGAGGGCCGGTCCCGGCTCAGGCACAAGCCGAATCTGAAGAGCGCGCCGCTAAAATCAGCGGAGAATAATTCCAATGGTATTTTCGATGATTATTGAAGGAACCGCTATCGACGCCGACGGGCTGAGGCTAGAAAACCAAATGTCATGATGTCGGGACCGCACGTTGTGGGGTGCGTAAAGGTAAAAAAAAGGTCGTGAACGCCCGACGGTCCCAAGTGAGGAGTGATGGGCGTGTTCTATGAGCTGGCAATGGTCACACACATTCCGCTGCCCCTCCAATTGGTAAAGTGCGGAGGCATGAGCCGTTCATGCAGCTCCGTTCAATCAACGGCCGCCCGCCCTGCCCTCAATCGTGTTCAAGCAGGCTGTAAGGCAACCGAACCTTTCTGCAATCAGCAGCCTGGTGATGTCTTCTTGCTTCAGGGAGGGAGCGTACTTTTGCTGCGACCTGCGGCCTAGATATGCGACCTGCGTGCTCCACCCAAACCGACCTCGACATCGCGAGCCGTTTGGTCTGCTTTGCGAGGCGGTGCGTTAGTGTAGCTGATTGCATGAGTCGCTGCAGTCGAAAGACCTGGTGCGTCCTCATTGGGTTGCACAAGTGAGGCTGTCGGGCCAATGAAGTCGGCGGCGGTATGCACGCCTGTTGACGACCTTGGTAGCTCCATGCGGAGGGGATACGCCATACGCAGACCCAGTTGCGGGCATGGCACGATCGGTTTGCATGTAAAGTGGACTCCCATCGGGCGTTTGTCGAAGATTGGGGGTTCGTGGTTTCTTGAGGCTCTGTCCAAGTTGACTCTGCAAATGGACATGGAAGTACTGTTGGTTAGCCTGTATATCTTCTGAATACATCATTTGGCGTCTTCAGTCTTTCAAAGGAGACCAAAACTATTATAAGTAGGAATTGTTGAGAAGAGCTGTCTCGTAGATGTAAGGAACAGCCCGTATCATGTTACCGCCTGGTCGCCAACGGAGTTGTACAGGAATTATCAGGAACAACACTAGGGACAGCACCAAAAACACTTCTGTCTCTGGTCACTTGAGTCTACAAGGTTGTTGAATGCTGGACAAATAGATAAATTATGACAAATAGCAGGGCCCGTACGCTTTTACTGCCGCCGGCGAAACACTCATAGCGACGTGGGCTTCCAGATTGAACTTTAGCACGAGAAGAAAAGAGAAGACAAACTCTGAGGAACGTAACAGCGATCAGATTATGCGGGACGCATTGAGCCAAGTCAAACATAAGTCTTCAATGTGCGAGAGGAGTATTGTTGTAGCGCCTGCTATTTCTGATGGTCGGATGGTTGCATGGAATTCATCACCAGTTTCCCTTGGATAGTACCACTAAATATGATTAACATATAGGACGTTGCTAATTTAGTGGCGAAAGGCGTGGTACTAGAACACATGGATTTGGTCGACGAGAGGCGTGCATTGAACAGTTTTAAGACCTCAGAGTCTACAAGAGTCTCGTTTAACCCATTGAAGTGTTCCTCGACTTAGAGTTACGTATTAGGTCCTAGACGGCGTTGTCAAACCGGGAGCCTAAGCATTGCCGTGTGTGTCGGTAGCCCCTTGCAAACTCCATGCAATCTCAAGTATCATCGTTCCCTCATTTCCAACCATCACCCTGCAGCATCAGACTTTCAGGCGGCCCCAATCCGTTCGCTCTAACGCCCCCAAGATCAACAACAACCTTTTGTATTACAACCCCAGGCTCAAGTAGCCAAACTCCCAATTCATGTCTTCCAACCTTCAGACTTCCTTCAGTCACATTTGTCGTCACATTCCAACCTCCGGTGATGACAGAATCAGCCCATCCCTCTGGATCCTCTCCGAGTTCCGCGTCACCAACCGGTTGTATAACTACAGCCTCCCTGTTGTCGACAGCAAACGCATACCTCAGCGGCCGCGTGGTGTCATGGTTCCGCGAGCCACCAAGATACATCCGTACCTTGACGCCTTCATATTCGGTAAATGTAAAGAAGTCATATCGCAGCTTCGGCGCTGTGGATTGAGTCAACGACTCGACACCTACTGGCCAAAGTTTGACTCCCGAGTGTGTCTTACCGTAAAATGGGACTTCGACGTACGAGACCCCGTTCTTCGTTTCGAGGGCAGAGTAATGCGCTGCTGCGATGGATACCACGCCGCCAGACTCAATCCAGCGTCCGACCAGATCCCCCTTGGCAACAGGAGGATTGAAGATGGGAAGTAAAACCGTGACCGCATCCTCTGTATCCTTCCTCTGGACGGTTAGTGCAGCGGTGCTACGCCCCTTGGGGGCAGAAGACCAATCCACCTCGATGTTCACCCGCGCCTCATCCATATCTCCAGGGGCCTCAAGTGTCCCCTCATCCTTGTCCACCCCGACCCACGACACGTTCGATTCAATCCGCCACTCAAATGTCCCATTCGCACGGCAGAACACGTCAATCCACCGACTCTGCCCCGGCGGCAAGTACGGATCCATCTCTAGCAAGACGATCTCCCTCTCACCCACATCACCCACCGCGCCCTGCCCAGCAACTCCCATAATCCCGGAGGCTGGAACATCCGCATCACTGACGTACTCCAGGTCCGGTATCACGTCGCGGCTGGGTTCGTACCATAGTGTATACCCAATATGCACTTGACACATGATCCCCTTCCACTTACCCCCGCTGATCCCATTGTACTCTGCCGAGATCTCCTTGTCCCGGGCAAAGGCCGTCTTCGCCTCCGTCGCAAGGCGATTCGTCGCCGTCCGCCGTTGCGCGCTATACAGCTTCCCCATCTCGGCCTTGATATACAACTCGTTGACCGTCTTCCCAGCCTCTACAGGATGCAACACCATTTGGTAAAACGCATCTCGCCATGTTTCTCCAAGTCCCTCGTAGACCCTCGAGGTATCTTCTAATAGGGCTTCCCACTCCCCAAGAGCCGTGGCAGCCTCGTCGTAGAAGAGTGTACTGTACACGAACGGCGGCATATTCAAAGTCTCGTACTTTCGTCGGTTGACCAGCCGGCCATATCGGTTCAAGATGTCCGCAACGGCGGATGCGATGTCTGGGGAGAACGTCTTTGATGTCCACGTTTCGAGCCAAGTTGTCGTGCTCGTTGGCGTGAGGTGTAGAGACATATCGTAGGCCATGTCGAGGAAATGGGTCGTGGGTATCTCCTGATACGAAAATTTAGCATAGGGTACTGTCATGTGCGTGCTTTGGGGGAAATGATGGAAACCAAATATTTCGGGGGGGGGGGGGGGGGGGGGGGGGGGAANGGGGGGGGGGGGGGGGGGGGGGGGGGGGGGAGCGGAGAGGAATGCAGCTTACCAGAGGCTTGATGTCTCCCACATTCACAATCCAAACCTCCCTAGCCCCTTTCTCGTAGGCGAGATGCATCTGCTCCCATGTCTTGGCCAACTGGATGGTGTTGATCCATTCATAAATCTTTGGGCGGCCAACATAGTTTACGTGGTAATACACGCCAGCACCTCCAGTGCGCGATGTCTCGTTGGGGTACGGCGTGCGCAGGAGATTACCATAGTTATCGTCAGTCCAGAGCAGCGTTACGTCGTCAGGGACCTGGAGGCCCTGCTGGTAGTATTTTCCGACTTCCTGTTTCTCGTATTTAGCGAAACCGTTCCCGTATCCATGGAACTTCATCGTGAGACTCACCTTGTACAGTGCCCAAATTTTGGGCAAATCACTCGCACGACTCCCATGAGTAGCGTTCAGAATCTCCTGCTGCACCGCGATAATCTCCTCCAGCTGTGGCGCAGTCAGCGTAGGCGACTCTGTGTCCCCCTCCCCTCTCATCCCCATCGTGTAAACCGTTTCCCAGCCCTTGCTCCTCTCCGCACCCGCATTCATGAAAGCCGTCAGGTTCTCCTTGTTCAGGCTCCAATCCCACCTCCCATCAAGGTCCCGCTCCTGCTCGCGGTACGCCCTCGCCATAGGTTCGTGATGGCTTGTCCCCATCACCACGCCAAAGTCATTTGCGAGAGCACCGTTTGCAACATCGTCGACATAGAACATGCTGTTCTTCATGGCGGGCCAGAGGTAGTTTCCCTTGAGTCTGAGGATGAGCTCGAAGACGTGAGCATAGAAAGAAGAGGTAAAGGGGCGGTTGCGGTCGGATGAGGCGAGAGGGAAGCGGGTACGGGCCCAGGAGGTGAGGCAGGTTTCTTCGTCATTGATAAAGATGCCTCTGTATTTCACGGAGGGGGGCCCTTGTGTGTGGATTGTACCGGCGGGAGATAGATGAAGGGATGTCGAGGGAGCGATGGGAACATCGGCCCAAAAATACCATGGAGAGACGCCTATCTGCTCAGACAGGGCGTAGATGCCGTAGACAGTGCCACGCTTGTCGCTTCCAACTACTGATAAGGCTGAAGAAATACCTGGAAAGGGGTTCGTAATCACTTCGTGAGTGTAAGATTCCCATTTCCCCTGAATGGAGGAGTTTTGGAGCCTGAGAAGAGGGGAGTAGCCTAGTGTTCCGATAACCAGGACGGGGAATGTTGTGGATGTGTTGAAGGTGTCATAGACGATGGTGCTATTCTTTCCGAGGACACGGCCGAAGTCGATGGAGAGTGATGTTGCAGCACGTTTGACGGCTGCGGTCTCGTTGGAGGAGAGAAGGATCACCGGAGGGTGCAAGGGGGTGGCCAAGAGGATGGAGTTGGGAAAGGGTTCGAGATTGATGATTTGGGCGGCGCTCGAGACCAGAAGAAGAAGAAGCGTTTGAATACAGATAAGGAGCTTCATTGTTGTAGTGTAGGATCGGTGTGTGCGAGAGAGATGTAGCCTGGGCTGAAGTATCACGTTCCAGGCATCGTCTTGGGGGCCACCAAAACTAACGTAATTAATATCAACATACCATTGACAATCCTATACACTCTTCTACGAATTGATGAACGTCTCAATGTACGGTTTGTCATCGCTAAAGGCTGCTGTAGTCCGAAAACGATATCGTCCTTCCCCGCACTTCGTCCTCTTTTACGACGAGACGGCGATTACGGACCAGCGGACGTTGCGTTGCCAAGGGGTGATTCTATTGAGTGACAGACCTCGTCGAAACTTGGAGTTTGGCTTTTGGTAAAGACTGGACATATTGCATCTCGGAGGGGTAAGGCTGTTTACCAGACCTTCGACGCTGATTCTTCTCTCAGCGCAACTACCGGGGCGTAGCCCTCCCACCTACCCTCCCACATGCCCTTACACTTGCCCTCTAAAGCTCCTACTCTCCCAGAATAACCTCACATTAGCTCTAGCTAGCTCAGCCAATCCGCGAAAGGCCCTAAGGCTACTGCTAATTAGCGAAGAGCTCCCTCATATTGATTTCGCGCCCGAGCTTTAGTAGTTTCGCTTTATGTAATTCCTCACTCCGCTCCGCCTCAGGAGCTATGCTCCGGATCATGGCCATGTTGAGAAGGCGGTGGCAGTGCAGCTTCAGCCTTCAGCCATGAACCGCTCAACCAACATATAATCCAAACGTTGTATCCTCGAGCATCTGTGCCTGATCTTTCTCAAGCACCTTTCACTCAAGCGCATCCAACGACGATTGAAACCCAGCAATGGACCCTCTTTCTGTAGCCGCATCGGTGGTCGGCCTCCTCGCTGCGGGCTGCAAACTCTCGTCTGCGCTCTTCGTTGTCGTGAGCAGCACGCGCGATGCGTTAAAGTCCGCCCAGAGTTTGCTTCGGGAGATCAACGACATCTCTGCTGCCCTAGGCTCACTTCAGTCCTTTGTCACCGGCCGGGTCCAGGCATCCGCAGAACGAGGGGGTCTTATTCTATTACAACACGTCTTGACGACTTTGACAGGATGCGTGACGACGTATTCGGATCTGCAATACATCGTAGATGGGTTAAGAATTGATGACCATATGGGACTGGTAGACCGAGCGAAGTGGATGATGCAGGAATCCAGCATCAGCGTTCTTGTCCAAAGGCTGCAGAATCATAAGGCATCTTTGACTTTAATGCTAGGCATTCTCCAGTGGTAAGTTTCTCGCAGGGCAATATTAAATAGGAGAAGAGTGGCTCGTTATACTAATGTATGAATTGAGAAATCCAGTCAGACTATGCAAGAGGCCGAGAATTCCACGCGAGAGCTCTGCGCCCTCGTTCAGCAGGTCCTCGAAAGCAACAAGGACCTTTGCGATAGAATCCATGCTCTTGAAAGTGAAGGCTCCGTGATTGCGGAGAGCGAGGCAGGTAAAGACGATGCATCGACGATCAGACGGAGACGCGGTTCCAAGGCTCTCTCCTTCATGGGCTCGGATCGTGCCGTTTTGAAGTTCGCGTTTGACCAAGATCTTGAGACCTCGCGAGTCTATAACCGGGCTCTCAAAAAGAGGCAGTCGATGGCATCGTTTACCAGCACCGCCTTGTATACAACAGCGCTATCAGTGTTCTCTAATCTCAGCCTCTCCCAAGTATCCAACATCTCATTCTACGCACTGCCCATCTACGCTGTGGACCTCAGCAACAATACATGTTATGTTTTCGGCGAAGAAGGCGCCGTTCAAAACATGTACACCGAAGAGGCTGCGATATCGACCAAGCCGCGAAACAATTCTTCCTCCACGATGGCATTGGAACAGTTCCGCCAACGGCCAACCCGTACCAACGTAGCCAATCCGACCGGCCTCCTTGGGCGCTTTGCACGAAGACGCCGCCCTCCGCAGATCGCCAAACCCGAGAACCCCGTCCATGTCGCCCATGTGGGATATGATAGCTCTAAGGACCAATTCACGGTTGGAAAAACCTCTCCATTTGCTAAGCATTACCTTGGGAACTGTAGACTAACGAAGAGAGGTGTGTAGGGTCTGCCAAGGGAATGGCAACAAGAAATTGATATGCTTAGGAAGTATAGACTAATGAAGAGAGGCGTGCAGGGTCTCCCAAAAGAAGTCCAACATGAAGTTGACGAGGAGGGACCGACTCAAGCATATGATAATCTTGAAGAAATCCATATCTATTTGGACTTATGAAAAGTGCTAGGGCTCGTCTACTGATATTATGACATATTGATTCGTCTACTTCGACCAAAGGAACCAAAAAGACCGCGCAAATAGTGCTCAAGTGATGTAGTTGAACGACGTCTTGCTTGAACTGTGTGGTGGAATTCACGTTCGATCGTCCGTAGTTTCATCTATGCCGGCAGCAGCCGCAATGGTGGCATCGAAGTTGCTGTATATCAGGTTCATGTTGTTGACCTGGTCGCTCAGCTCTGACACATTGCTCTGATTTATGCATTATTTATCACCCAACATTTTTTTCGTATCCGAGAAGCTTTGTGAGCGTTATGGTATCCTTGACTGAAGCTGACAGATCTGGCAGCAATTGCTAATCTATTTGGGCAGAAAAGCTTGCGAACTGAGGACTCCATACGTATCTATGTCATCCATTTCATACCACGTTGTGCGGGCTTGATTTGGAGTTTATTTCAGTTAATGAGTTTCATCCCTGAAATGGAAGTTGGAGACGCAGGTTCATTGCACGACGCTCTATGATCCTCTTTATCAACCTACAGACGGGCCCTGTCATGGTTGACGCGATGTGGGATTTCATGCGGCTGTAAAAGATCGGTCTGACCGTCTGTGCGAACCACGTGCAATTTTCCTTCATTAGTAGCCGTAGTTGTCGACGAAGGCTTCGTCTAAAGTGGCTCTGCTCTTCAGATTGACCGAGACCAAAAGACTCGCTGTTTCGAGGACAACGAGATTGAAATACAAGTTACGGAGTAAAGCCTCATTCACCTGACATGACATAAGTGCTTCAACCGTAGGTAGAGTGACAAGGACGAAGAATCTCCACTCTCTCTCTCTACCTTAGGTTCTTTGGTAAATTGTAAGTAAGTCCCCCTCGTTATCAATATGCCGATGGCGGCCCACTTTAGCCGAGGATGACCTTCCTGAGTAGCCGGAGATGTGGGGCCGCTGCAACCCCGAGCCTCGGTGTCGACCAATGTCCGTATCTCACATCCCAAAACACATCATTGTCACCCAAGACTACAAACCATAGACTTAGAACATCAGCGGTGAAAATGACGCGGCCCAAAGATTCGGTTGCTACACCCCAGCTTTCTCCGTTAGAGGAAATGCTCAAGCTGGCGGAAACTGAACCGGTGAGTGCTCGTCTAACTCATCGTTCGCATTGACCGCCCTTCGGACGCCGCTTTAACATCAACTATCCCAGGACGTCTTCACTACCACTGCAAACCATTGGCGTCCGCCAGGAGGGAGGGGGATATACGGTGGGTAAGACCAGCGACGACAACATTTCTCACCAACCCCACTCACCTACCAATCACTAACGCATCATTAAGGTCCATCGTCGCGCAAAGCCTAGTCGCGGCTCAGAAGACCGTACGCGATGGGTTTCTATGCCATTCGATGCATTGTCAGTTCTTGATTGTAGGGAACGAGACAATTCCAGCTACCTTCACCGTTCAGAGGACCCGAGATGGAGGCTCTTTCATCACCCGAACCGTCCAAGGCACCCAGGAAGGGAAGTGTATATTCACGAGCACCTTGTCCTTCATGCGGGCGATTCCTTCTGAGAAGCAGCGTGTTCAACATGTTCCCACCCTGCCATCATCGAGGGGATCGCCGCCTGACGAGTCCATAGCCAGCACTGCCACGGCCGTAGCACCGCAGCTGTTTCCCATCTCGATAGAAAAGAGCAATGGTCAGCCGGAGGATGCAAAGCTTCAGACGTGGATCCGGGCGCCGAGGGAAATTGCCCAAGGAGGCGACGTCGAGGTCCAGCAGGCAATCTTGGCCTATCTATCAGATTGGGTCTCAATTTCGATCACGCCCTACGTGCTTGGGTTATTCGATTTTCCTGGAGGTTTCTCGAAAGGTGTCGAAACGTCATCTTTGGAAGGAAGCTCTGTCGGGATGCTCTCCTCTCTTGGCCATACCATCTACTTCCATGCGCCCGCCCGCACCAGAGCTGATGAGTGGATTTTGCTTGTCGGCCATAGCCCTTGGTCGGGAGACGAGAGATGTTTAGCTTCTGCAAGAATGTTCGCGAAAGATGGTACCTTGCTGGCGACCTATGTTCAAGAGGTGTGTGCTCCAAAAAGACGTCTAGAAGACAACTAATGCTTGCCAGGGGGTCATCAGATTAAACGGCGAGCTCAATGGCCCGGGCGTCAAATTATAAAGCAGGGTTGACTTGAGATCCGGACATTTATCCATTTAAAACTTCTCCAAAGCCAGGTAAATACTATGGAGAAAATAGGTGATCTGTTGGTTATCATACTGTCATCGCAATGGAAATATTAGACAATTCTCGAATTGTTTACGTCTTAGGTACTGAATACGTCTGCGAAATGCTTTTTTGTTCCGTTGGTTGCCAGCTTACTTACACCGGTATGGTGCAAACAGAACTACTGGGGATGCAGACATTTGACTTGGCTCAGGTCTATCTCTTCCCTAAAGACCGAGTTGAGGTGACTTGGGACACAACTCAAAGGCGTCTATCGACCCTCTCTAGTTGCGGATTTCTGTTGCTTGAGTAGTGCTGTTGACGGGAAACAACAACAGGCTGTCATACTTTCCACCCACGTGAATGTAGTGAATGCCCTTGTTACGACTCGCTGGAGTCTCAACCCTCTGCTCGTTGACAAAGGCCGGGTTGGAATCCGCGTCACCTCCCAGTTCAAACAACGAAACGTTCTGGCCGGGCTCGAACGTGCCTCCCGTCGCAGGCACAGGCACGATTGCCGTGCCAAAGCCGACATCAGCCTGGGCGGAAGTGATTGCGGCCGGGGCGATGTTCAAGCTGAGCAGCTCCCCCGCGTGTATTCTGAGAGCGGAGGGCCAAAGAGGGATATCCACGGGCACTATCTCGCCTGGTGACAGAAGCCTCTCCGAAGTGTGTACCAAGAAGGGCTCGCGGTCTGTGGAGAGGTCTGTGTCTAGCTCACGCTGTGATACGCGGAGGAGTCCGGTTGGGCCGATCGTGCTGGAACTCTCGCTGCCGGTGCTGGGAAATGCAGTGCCGTTGGAGGAGAGCTTCTGTACGGAGACGGAAATTTCCATGTCGGTGGCGTCAGGGGAGGACAGCCAGAGGCGGAGCTTTGAATAACCGATCACCTCCATCATCTCGGGGACCTGGAAGTTGAGCGTAATGCCGGATGCAGAGCTGCTATTGTAGCTGAGGATAGTTTCGTTGGATAGAGGGGACTCGGCAAGCGAGTTGTTGGGTTGCAGGTAGAGAGTCTTCGACTCGAGACCCGGAACTGGCCAGTCTGCGACGACGCGATCGAGAGTGTCCTCGGAACCGGGATCCAGAACAGCGAGGCGGACGCGCGGAGTAGACTGCCATCCATTCTCTTCACCTTTGAGGTAGTGGTCGAAGAACTTTTGAAGGTCGGCCATATGTTCCGAGGCGTAATAATCCGTCCATTCTTGCGTATTGTGCACTCTAAGCCACTTCTCCTCTGAGGAAATGCGTCGGAATCCTTCGAACGAACCATGGGTGTGAAGAAGATTGGTATAGCTGGCCACGATGTACGCTGGGATCTTGATCTTCTCAAGCTTTGCAATCTTGTCTTGCCAGTAGGGGGTGATGAGACCCTCAGAAAGAAGCATGCGAGGAACATCTTCGACAAATTCTTTGCCAGCAAACGTGGTCAGAATTGACTCCTGAAAACCGGGTGCTGGAATCCCGCCTCTGACGGCGGAGTCGCGGTACAAGTCCGCGAGCCCCTCCCACGGAGCAATCGCCGTCAAGTGAGGCGGGCTCTCGGCCGCGATGAACCACTGCGACACCGCTAGCCACGAGTTGCCCGAGAATGCGATCTTGCCCGAGCTCCACGCCTGCTCCGCAGCCCACTCGACAAAATCATACCCGTCCTCACCCAGCTGGCGACCCCAGTATGTGATGTTGCCCTCGGAAGAGTAGGCGCCGCGGTTGTCTGGGTTGAGAATCGCATAGCCCTTGCAGACCCAGTAAGCAGGGTCGGGGCCCTCGAACTTCTGCAACTCGGAGACGGATGACAAGCTCACGCCGGATCGACCCTGGACATCGTCGAGCCACTGGCCGCCAATTTCTTTGCCATAGGGGCTCCACGCGATGATGCTGGGCACGGTGGCATTCGTGGTTGTAGGACGGAAGATATCGGTGTACACCGTGATACCATCGCGGAGGGTGACGGGGACGTCGCGCTCGAAGAGGATGTCGCAGGGAAGAGTGAGTGCGCCATCGCGGCGGATGGTGCCGGCTTTGAGGGTCAGATTCTCCTGCTTGAAGCCAGGGTAGCGCGAGCGGGCTGCATCCAGAGGGAGAGGCCGTCGCTGGGTGATGGGGTAGGAGTCGTTGCCGTAGATTCGGAGGGCTCCCTGGACAATTTCGGCGCCGTTGGTGGTGTTTTGGGAGAGGGACGATGCCGGAGACAGTGTGACTAGGAGTGAGATGGCTGCGAGCCACGAGGAAAATGAACAAGGATCGTTTGAAAGCCTCATGGTGGGCAAGACAATGATGATCCCAAGAGCGAAAGGAAGGAAGCTGTGGTCACTGTGTTATGAAGAAGGAGCGTGAGATTGGATATGGCTTCGTTTTATAATTTGTCTTCTGAAAGGCTTGACGAAATCCTGTACCGAACCCATCCACATCCAAAACTTCGCCACGGTGACTGTACGAGAGGCCCAATGAGACGTCCGCGGCAAGACCTGAGCCTACGTCGCATCGTCAATCCAAATTAGTCGCGTTTATTACCTCAAATATCGGTCCACCGTATGATCCCTCAGTGTATCCGCAAGTCAGCGGGGTGCCTTCGGTGAAGAAGTCGTCACGTTATAGGCATTGAAGATGTTGCCCAGGCCCATCCTGATTCCTCAAGTCGTTCGAAGCCGAAGCCGGTGGGACGGACGACCTCCGGTCGTTCAAACTAAGACAAAGAACGTCAGTTGGGTCCACCTCGAGATGCATTCCATATGTGTGATTGGTTGTGTCGTACGGTCCCTGTCGACATTTAGCTCGTTGCTAGTCAGGAACCACCCTTGCAAAGCACGTATTTGGACTCGTTCCGCTGGTCAGTTGGTCATTGGCTGTTCAAGTTCTTCGGGAAGTCATTCAAGAGAGATCGAATGTATTTTCCTTCAATTCAAGAAAAATGGCAAGTGTTAATCCCCCTTGAAATGTGACCCTCCCGAAAGCTCCTCTTCAACCAATGCCCGCACGCCGTTCGGGCCAGCAGCACGAGAATACGTCAGTTTCGCCCTCCCCTTTCCGCTCAAAAACTTGACCAACACGCCGGCAACCCGAGCTGCCTCGGGAACATCACGGGACTCGGTAATCTCACCTAACCCATCTTCTTCAACATCCACGATGCGCTCTAGGACCCGTGCAGCAAGCATCCCTTCCAGTTGGCCATCTCGACGACGGGCACCGCGTAGGATGTGTATTGCGGCTCTTCTTGTGCTCGGGTGCCGACATCGCAGAGCAAGTCTGCTTAGGGGCATGATGAAGCCGCCACCTAGGACGAAAGACATGTGCTGCCCACGGGAGGCGCTCTTATTCGATGCAGCCACTGCTGAGGCGGCATATGTGAGCATCTCGGTGAACTCTGGGAGGAAGTAATCCCAGCCAGACTGAGGGCAAGTATCTTCCGGGCCATGAAGGGTTAGATAGACGTCCAATCGCCTGATGTGAAGGAGTGCATGAGAATTCTCGTCGTTTGTGGAGATGGGGCTGGCATTGAAGGCTTTTAGCCAATCCTGATACATGCTTTGGCAGGAAGTCCGAGTCGGCATACTATGGACCTCCCGTGGCTTCTCTTGTTGTTCTACCATGAATAGGCAGAGGTTTTCCAAATTCTCGAGTTGTCTGTTTGCTTCTCTGAGATTGCCGAATACCGGCAGACATGGTCTTACATGTCTGAAAACAGGCGGCTTGGGTCGTACGTAATGCTCGGTTTGAAGAAGCTGGGCAGTTGTCAGAGACTTTCCTGCCGAGACGGGGATTCTTGCGTTGCAAACCTCTCTCGTGTAAGAGTCCAGCCGTACAAAGACAGACAAAATTGGTGCAAAACTTTCTAAATTTGCAAGGGATGAGATGCAGGCTTCAAGCTGCGTCAAGATGCCGATCCCAGAGAAGATCAAGTTCGTAGCATTACGAGCGTTGCCGCATAGTGTCTACAAGGAGATCAGCACAACTCAATTGCACATACTGAGCAAACCGTTGTAATGAAATGCCTACCTCAATACATGCGAAGACCACAGCAGACGCGAGTGAGATGACATTTGCCGACTCCTTTCCGACAACGGGGACGACCAGCTGCTGCAGTGCCGTCTGGTAGTGCCGTAGCGCGTTTGCCGTCCGTTCGGTTGGCGGGGCTTGGCGAGGCACCGGCCATGAGATCGGCCAGTTGTGCATGTCCTCGAGCAAAAGCCCCAGAGCAACGGTCGCGTGAAAGATGGCGTCGTCGGCGTTGGCAAGTTGCAGGACGAGCTGCCCCCAAAACTCACACTCGAAGCCGCTGGAAAGTGCCGGAGCACCGATAATCTGGAAGAACCTATATGCTCTACCCTCTCGTTCGTTGAGGGCTAGGGGATTGAGCGGACTGGGATTTCGCCGAATTGACACTTCGTGATGCTTTGGGACCACAGCGTCCTGCGTGTCGCTGTGAGAGGAACGGTGGCAGTCGAATCCAGCATTGAGACCTGTAATGCTTAGGCTGGCACACTTTGCTGTTGGAAGACGGCTTTGGCCCACTTACAATTTGCACAAGGCAGCTTCTCGTCGCATTTGATCCTTCGTTCTAGGAGGCAGAGGTTAGATACTCAGTGGCCCAAAACCACGGGAGATGCCCATTGACTGACTTCTGTAAGCTTGTGAGAACCCAGTGTGACGGAAGGGTCAGCGTGATGAACGAACTTGCACACATCACACCCATTTCGGGATTTAGGGGCCCAGGCTCTTTTGCGTTGGCCGCGCTTGACTTTCGTCATCGCAGTGTCTTTGCCGCGAGGACACGCAGCCCCGTTGCAATAGCTTCGTGAACGGTATCCTCAAGTGTCAGCTAACAATCGCGGCTCGGCCCAATTGCAAAATCCGGGCCTGCAGCGCGTGTCATCGTATGCGAATAGGTAGTAGGTTGTTGTATGTAAGTGTGTGTGCAGAGGTATGTATTTGGCAGCACCCATATCATCCATTGTCAGTGGGGGCCCTCCAGCATGGCCCCCATTCTATAGGTAATCGGTTCGGCCCTATAATTGGCACCGCCCCGCCTTCCTAAGCCTGCTGGAAGTGGAAGGAAGCAATTAATGCCGACGCTTAGCCAATAAGTCATGAGCCACACAGCACAACCGCCTCCTCACTGAACGGAACATACAAGTCAGGATTTAGTATTTTAGAAGGAGCGGTACGCTTACTTAGTCTTCAAAGCTCCAGAGTTGTCTTACTATTAGTTTCAGCTGCTGGATCCAAGCCATACGTTCCTCGATCAATACTCTTCAAACCACGTACACAGTAAGTCTGCTACGCAGGTACTCGCTCCGTGGTGACATGATATCTCTTTATGGAACGTATGCAGCATCAGCCAGCATATCATCGAAAGACCAAACATGGCCAAACATTCAATCGATTATCCTCAATCCCCAGCGCTGCCCCGTCCCTAGGTCGGCGTTTTTGGCTGGAGGACCTATCCGGGTTGTTGGGTGCGTTCCCAGTACCGAGGTTGGCATGAATCACCCTAATACCTGTGACAGTAGGGCGTACAGTGTCGGAACAAATTCTCACCAAGGAAAGCTCCCTCCATAGAAGCGAGTCGACATCGAGGGCCTCGAGAGTGCCACTGCCATCGATTAACAAACCAAACTGTTCATTGAGAGGCGAAGTGAGGGTCGTGGCTATACCCCAAGAGACCACCTATGGCCTGCTTGGGCAGCCTGGCGTGTCACTTCAGCCTACCTGAGGATGCTCATTCCAGTCAACAGCCAGGATGACATCTAAGGCATTGTGGTATGATGAAGTAGAACGAAGAGGCGATGTTGTCAACCGTTATCACCCACAGAGAGAGTTCCTTGGCATGCCGAATTGAACATGGAAAGTGAAAAAGACTTGGGCCGACATTCTGCTGGAAGCGGATGTTCTGGAGACAATAAGGCAACTGATCCCTCAACTCAGAGACACATAGCAGAATCGACCAGATGATGGGGTTCTTGAGCAGGGAAGCATCGGCGGCGCCCCCGTGTGCGGACCGCCAGGAACTGGCAAGACAGAATCGGTTCGTCCGATCGCAGCCCAGACCAGTTTGGTGGTGTTTCGCATTAAGCATGCCGCTCATGTAAAGCCACCTCTGCCGCCCTACAGATGTTATCGACCCCCTTTCGAAAGTAAAAGTCTGATACACATTTGCACTTGACAATTAATATGATCGACCAGTCTCCCAACTGACGGTATTAACTCAAGCGCTCTGAAAAGATTGCCAAGCTCGGCGTCACCGCAGCGCTGTCGGGGGTCCAAAAATAAGCAGACATGAGTCGCCAACCCCAGATAATCAATTTAGAGTTGCAAATTCATATTCCTACTCATGCGCTCTTGACTCTCTATGAAATAAACCCCTGCAGTAGGAAGACCATTGTCCATGAACTAGAATGACGTCTCTACGGATTAAACAGATTAACTCAGTTCTGCTTCGGGTTCGCTTTTGACGTTTTTTTACTTAAGACTAAGTCTGCCGGTGCCGCGATGGCACATGTTTGTTTTCGTGACAACCACACACTGTCTTTCTAGCTCCCACCGTCCATTTCACCAGTTGTTAGCAGTGTCTTCCGCGACATCATGGCTAACGCTATTCACTCTTTTGGTTCGGGGAGCGTCCGCTCATTGTTCTTGTGGTTTTTGCTTCATGTACTCCTAATCAACGCTTCGCCCACGCACCGCGACACTGTCGTCGTCACCAAGCGAGCCAGAGGCCAGTTCCCCACGTTTGCTCAGGACTACGATGGCCGTGTGCAAAAGGGACAGTACTTCAACGATCTGTTCCCCCTCGATGATGCGAAGGCGGCCGAGTACAATGGCGGGGCTTCTGTAGCGAGTCCGTACCAGGACCCGAGCGTGCTGAAAGCGAACGGCTGGACTAGATACATCTTTTGGTATCCCTTTGAGCAGGATAGCGGCGATGTCGAGGCACCGTTCGGCGCGGTGACGGACCCAGCCTTCGCTAATATGGGCCTTTCCGTCGACAAGACGCCTGGCTATGACAACAACCTCGACAACGCATTTGCGGACAAGGACCATCCGGTAGATGAGAAGGAAGCGGGCGAGTACTACTACAGACACGACCGAGAGTTTGGTCAAGGCAAGAAGGTGAGGGACGCTTACATGCTTATATGAGAATTTGCTGCTGACCCTGTTTTCTCAGCCCACGATGGCTTCCTATTCCAACGTGCTTGTTCCGGCCTCTGGCGCCTTCATTTTCGATGAAGACTACAGCCCCAGTTTTAGGAAGAGCGATTGGGGACTGGGTGACGTCCCCGACTTGGACACAATGTCGGATGTCGCCTTCTTCCAGTGGATCGACGCCTGCAAGGCGAAGAACATTCAACCAAACACCCTCAAGCTCATCTTCGTATCCCACTGCACCAACCAGAAAACGTATGACATCGTCGTAGAGGCTCTGAAGGCGACCAAGTACAATAAGGTGCCCAGCTACGCCGACAAGGCAGTATTTGGCATGGATACTCCAGAGGGACAAGCCATTCTCGGAACCGTATGGGGCAGTGCGACGTCTTGGATGCTTATCCAGCACAAGAAGGACCTTGGTTTGAAGAAGATCAAAGAAGTCGCCGTCTGGGGCCTTGGCAATGGCTTCGCTTTCGAAGAAGACCCAGAGGGCGAGGTGGCCAACTTGAACATGAGATTTGTAGTCGAGGACGCTTAAGTAGGAATACCAAAGCATGAACACATCCTGTACTTTGTCTGATTGCTAGCATTGCGGTTTTGTTGCCATGGACTATTGGCTCAACCCTTGCTGGCTCAACCTCTGCTGGCCAAGGCTCTGCTTACCCAGGTTTTGCTGCTGGTGCTGCTGGTGCTGCTGACCAAGCCCCTGCTGCTGACCGAGTCCTTGATGCTGACCGAGTCCTTGCTCTCGTCCCAGACCTTGTCATTGACCGGGGCCATGTTGTTGACCGAGGCCATGTTGCCCGAGGCCTTGCTGATGGCCCATGCCCTGCTGTTGGCCAAGTTCTCGTTGTTGACTGAACGAAGACGGGATCCCGAGTTCTCCAGTGGTTATGGTCGTATGTGATGGTCCAGCAGACTGTTTGATCATGTCGCGAGATGGCAGGATGCCAAAACCTTGTACGGTGACAACCCACCCAACACAAAGTCCAGGCTGAAGACTAGAAACGTCCCTCAGACCCTATCTTGGTGCTGCTGAAGCATTGAATTGCCCTTGACCTGCTTGTTATTGTCCTGTACCGTGAAAACACTGTCTATATCAGCCCTCAGTATCACAGTCGCGTCGGGACTCACTATCCGCAGCAGTTGTAGACAATGCGTGCTTGCTTATTATGTGCATGACTCAAACAGAGCCTCTACCAATCCTTTCGTACATCGGGGCCTGTCCCTCCTCTCGACGAAGCAATGCCCTCCATATCCGCCGGGCGGACCGTCTGTCCGGACCTCACCCAAGATGCTCCCCCCTTCGATCAAACGCGAGCCTCAGGCCCGCGGCGCAAAGATAATTCCAACATGATGCCGAACGCCTGAAAACCGTAATGTCTTTTGATGCCATACGCTGCTCTCCTCCCTGTATCATATCACTACAACGCGATCGCTCCCCGTCGATTCTCCCGGATGTGGAGCATGCCCTGGATGCCGCAGAAGATGAAGAATCCCTGTGTTGAGTCCCAGAGTCAGTAAATGATCGATGATGCGTCTTGTTTTATGCAGTGGATGCCGGGACGCGACGTACAATGTAGACAAGAACAGCAACGAAGAGGGTGCCAGCGACGGCGCCGCCGTTCTCAGGGTCCTCCTTTCCTCCGACGAGTTCGGGGTGGTTCTTGGCGAAAAGAATGCTCAGGATACCGAGGATGACGATACCGAAGACGGAGATGACGGTGCTGCAGTGGTCAAACAGTTAGCCGTCGCGATCCTATGTCCAGGGCGCAGGCTGTCCGAAGGGACACACGTACCATTGCCATGCGGCGCCAGCACCAACGACGGGCTTCATGATTGCAGTGTGTTGCTGAGAAATTTCCTCCTCGGTTCGATGTCGATGGGCACGATGCGAGCTTGTCGTGAGCCTTGATGTGCCGGGCGTGATGCGTTACGTTGTCGATGATGAGGCCGATGCGGTCGTCGGTGCTGTTGCTCCTGGCTCGCGAGGCTCCACCTTGGCCGCGGTGACGTCCAATGATCTTGCCTGATTTCCCAGGCGTCCCGGACCAGCATCAGCCACGGATCGAGCTCCAGCCACATATCGGGACGGGGCTGGTTTCCTCCGCTAGATGGACCCACCCTTGCCGTATCAATCATCGTGAACCCGCCCGGATCTCTGCCCTGCATTTCAATCCGAATTCCATACTGCTTTGCATGTTCCAGGGCTCGGCGCCGGATAGATCCTCATCGCGGGAATCGATCAAACCAGCGAATCTCGCAGAAGTCTTGTCACCGCTGATCTTTCTGTTTTGGCGCGATTCTGCTCATCAAATACTTCCGGCAAGTGGTCTCAGTTGCTGCGGAGCTTCCCAGGCCTTCGACCTTCGACCTTCGTTTTGTCCGCGAGCCCGCCGTGCTGCCCGGGTCCGCGGGTCGGCCGAAGGTTGCGAGGCTCTCTAACAATGGCGCCATCTCAGGCGAAGCCCGGACGCGTCTGATGGCTGCATCACAGAAGAGACCCTTCGGCGCACGCATCTTCCATTGACCAATGGTTTCGACTACGTCGGCACCAAGGCCTGAAACGCTCCTCTTCACGGAGCCGAAGCCAATACGAGCCGGAGTAGCACGTTGCTGCCAGTCTTTGGAGGCTCATGTCCACGGATCAGAAATCTACGGTGGGCAACTACACGACACGTTCAGCGCTCCAAACTCGGGCCCGCAGAGCTATCCGAGCTGGAACGGCCGTCCCTCACCTGACGCCAGCGAACGGTGCCGATCCGGGTGCTGGCGCGTCTTTTTAGCGGCCCCAACGGCTGCGCGAATGACATGTTCGAAAGACGGTTCGTCGAAAGGAAAGAAGATCGAATGCCAAGGCGCGACCGTCCAGTGCTGGCAGGCTCGACAGCATTGACAGCAGCGCTTCGTAGGGCGAGCGCGTTGCTCTTCTGGGATAAGCCTGCCAGACGGCAGCGTCGTCCAAGTGTTCGTCGCTCGGGCATATCGAAACTGCGATCTGACCCAAAAGGGTCGCTGACATGTCTAACGGTGCACAAAAACAGACTTGGAGATCAGTCATACGTTTTTCCCTTGAAACGACTGGCACTCTGCAAAGTCCTCTGCCCACGGAGCTTGCATCTCGAACTCTGCACACGAGCTGCCCAAACGGGAAAGTGACCACTGCGACCCCAGAACGAGCCGCACAACTCGTTCGTTGCGACGGTAGGACGACGTTCTGACGGCGGTGATGGCATACTGTCCCCGAGCACTCACCAGATGATGGCCATCACTCGTGCGTGATGAAAGCCGCCATGCTCACGTTCAGACTTGGGATGAAGGATTCGCCCCGAGGAGATTGGGCATTTCGAGAACACATCTAGTCGAGATTTGACCTCTCCTATTCGCGCAACCGAGAGGTCCAACAGGAGTTGGTTGGAACTTGTGTGTTTGCCAGAGTGTTTGCCAACAGGGGAGAATGCTCTGAAACTGAAACATTGCCAGGAGTTGCCCATCTGCAACCACTCTGCCGATCCTCCGTTGGTTGGCACCATTCAATTTTTCTGACCGCAGCTGCCTATGAAGAAAGCCATGTTGGGGGCGAAAGTGTAACTGCATGTTACAAGTGATGACAGAAGCCCAGGCGTCAGGGGTGGGAGCCCTATCAACCGAAGAGAACAGTTGGAGGTGATCTGGAAAAGGTGCCCAGCTGGTCAGCGCTAGCAACGCTGCCAATCGGTTCGGAATGACAGTCTCTGGTTGCCAACCAACCAGCCAACGGCGCGCGGCAGGGGGCCACAGGTTGGGTGAGCCATCGACAATTAGGATGCGACATGCGATATTGGGAAACATTGGCAAGGTGCCACACGTGCCTGCGAATCCGGAGAAACAAAACGAGGGCAGTGCCGTCTTTGTGGGTGACACTGGCACAACGTCAGCTAAAAATGGCTGGATATTAAAGGCGTGTTTGTTGTCGGGGTTCAGCCATAACGGCTGTTTTGGGTTTGCTGTAGGCGGACTGACGAGCAGGTCATGAGAGTCCATGACGACAAGGACGGGGCGGGAGATGACAGCAGTTCCACGCCGTCTACCGACGAACCTCAATCTCGTGTGTGTCCTGGTCCTCCTTGCCGTCTTAGATGAGATGTCAGCAAACTTGGGAACAACAGCACCCAGCATGAAGAGTAGAGCCGACGACAGTCCGGATATCACCGGCGAGAGTTCCGTTGAACGACTCAAGCGCAGACGCCGACTACAAGGGAACGCCCTGAAACAGAAAAGGGAAGTGCTAAAAGAAAAGAAGGCTTTCTTTGGTGAGGGGATCGGAAAAGCGGCGAACGTCTGTGTCCCAGCGTCAACCATGGACCAGATTTACCGCAACCCATCGTCCGTACCACCGCTTCTTCGCTGCTGCCGTGAGTGGCCGGGTTCATGGGTCCCGAGTGCCCCTGTAAGCTGCAAGGAGCCAGATGAATACGGGACCTTGCAGAAAGACGTTGTCATTCAAAACGCGCCATAGGGGGGATTGGTGTGCTGAGAAGATGACAAGACGGACCCGAGCGAGCGAGCGAGGCGATGTGCTCGGATGCGTTGGGCCGTTGGTCCTCTTCCAACAGTTTGTTCACCATGTTTTCGTCAGGACACTCGTGGGTGTTCTTGGGGGCCCTTTTGCTCGTGGCCCTAGGGTCTGGGGGCGGTTGGCCCGGCCGTGAACCAGCTGGGCACTAGGGTAACCCGGCAGGCCAGGTGCACGCAGAGGGGCGCTGTCAACTCTGCCCAAAGTAAAGTAAGTCAGGGGGGGTCACCTCAGGGCGCAAGCGGACGGCGGCCCCTAGGGTAACTAAGGTAAGGTAGCGAGGCCCCGGGATCCCACGGCGGCTCCACTCGTACTCTAATCTCGACTCCCATTCCACGGGTTCCTCGTTGGGCGTCCAACTCACAATCACCACCAACCAACCAGCGCCCTCTATCCATCACACGCCAATGCGGTCACGGCGCCTAAGCGACCAAGCCGACGTTCCTGCCGTTGCCTTTTCTTCCGAAGCTGACGTCGACGAACGGGACCTGCGAATCGAGGAAACCTCTGGCAAAGAAGAGGAGAGGCTGGAGGACCACTCACTCCGCATGCGGTCATCATCTGGAGAGGTTGGCAGTCAGTCACCACTGCAGCCGGTCTGGGCTGTTTGTTTGGTCTACCTTCTTTTTTGACACCCAGCACTGCTGCATGCCGCGGCATCCTGGCGTCTGTCCTGTGTCCCCTCTTGGGCGATTGACTCGCCAGCCTTGTTCTCTTTGGCGGCTATCTGCATGCTCTGGGGCTCTGTGGCTCTGGGGGCGCGCATCGCATCTCGTCTGCAGTGCCTGCTGCTGCGTGCTGACTCTAAACCCTCCGAGACCTCCCCCATGGATGTTGGCATGTTTCTATGATGCCCACTAGCTTATTTCGATTGGCAGGGACAGGGACAGGTTTCTGCGTAGCGCGGTGCTAAGCCAGGTACGAGAAACAGAGTCAGACACTACCAGCCGTCTATTTGTTTTTGTCAAAGGCACCAACCGACATTCTACGGATACTGGGGTCTGGTCTAGTGACTGAGGACCAACGAATAACCCTGTCCCGGTTACTTGGCCCGTTCCCTTTGGTAAAAGATCTCCAACACAAGTGTGTGTGTGTGTGTGTGCTTCCGCTGCGTCTGCCAGATTTAGTTGCGTGTCTGGCAGATTTCGGCGTCTTCTGTGCGTTTCTTCCCCTGGCCGTTGCATCTGGACAGCCCATGGCCCCCGAGGTTGGTCTCTTGGCCTTACCGCAGCAGCAGCATGCA